TTATAGAGTTTAATGACCACAGGCAGGAATGATTTCCTGTGGCGCTCTGTGGTGCATCTGGGTGATTAATAAAAACAACACGAAAAAAGCACGAAAACTCTCTAAAACAACCTCGTTAGAGAGAATAAAAGTTAAGAAAGTTAAAAAAGCAAACTCAAAGGCTGGAGTAAGTAACAGGCAGCATGCAGCTTTCCTGCACGCGCACAAGGAGAAGATGGAGAGGTACAGAGGATATTTGTAACATTCATTGTAACAGTAGTTCCAAATTCAGCATTGCTTTAATAATAAATACTGTAAATTATCTTAAGAATCAATGTTGTTGATACTTAATCTAGCTTTTCAAATGAACAGAACATAGTTTTGAATCATGTAGCTGATATTAAGATCTTGAACATGTACAAACTCGTCCAAAACTATTTATAATAAACCAGTCATTGCTTCTTCTTTGGCGTCCACAATACTTTGTAATGAATGTTAACGTGAACCCTGATTATCTGATTCCTGATTCTTCAAATAAGAAAACAAGACATTTAAAAAGATAAAAAAAAACACATACTGATTAAAACAACCCAGGTAAATATAAATAGAGCAGAATAGTTATGCTGCCTATGCAAAGCTGCATACATGACTTGCTAATCATGCGTACCACCCACTACTACACAACTTTTCAGCATCAGTCATGCCTGAGCAGTGAGATATAGGTTCCCAATGACTAAGAATGTAACACCATCGTCTCAGATTACCCACTTTCAATGCCAATGACAAGAGGCCTCTTGTCTTTGGCATCCACCCTGTAATTTTCCATAACATGCAGCTAATTCTTGGTACTGTAAGCCTCTGCATTTGAAACCTATTCAGTAGAATTTACCAGAAGGTCTGTCTAACTCCAGGAATATGCCTTTGAGTAATTCAATACACTACCTTTTGTTCCTGATGCAACACAAACAAGAGTTAGAGCAGCACAATACTTTATTAACCATGCATGTATCCACGGTGAATTGAAACTGGTGTCACTTTCAAGCAAAACCTGCTTCTTATACACCCAGAGGCACACAAGCACACCTGTGTATTCAGTGGAATCGGTGCCTTGCTTGAGGACACCTCAACAATGGGGTGAAACTCATTCTACTGAGGGATAGCAGGAACTAACTAGTGGAACAAGTATGCAAAACACAATGTTAAGAAACTCCTTTACAAAGAAAAATCCCTGCATTTAAAACCTTACTTTAGTGAAAGTTTGGAAGTATTATCAGCAAAATGCTATATATTGTTTATATAATTTATTATATTCATTACTCATTCATTCATTACTGCTGTAAGCAGCATTTACATGTTGTAACAAGTCGAGAGGGAGCTAATTATGACTGTGAATGTGCGAATGTGGCAAACTGTTGGTTGACAATGTACCACATTTTATAAACTGATTATTTTTTTGCATGTAAAATCTAAATCTGTAGTACTTTAAACATCTATGGCTGTCAGACAAATGTAGTGGAGTATTGTCCATATTATTTCAGTCTTAAGTCTAGAGGAGTAGAAGTTAAACTTGGACTTCAATACACTTTACGACATTAGTGTATTCAGTAATGTATTTTGTAACTTTACACCACTAGAACCAACCTTTATGCACCAGAATAGACTAGATCATAATGATGTCATCCCACCAGTGTAGCCAACAAGGTAATGGCATTAAGATCACTCTTAATGTCATTATGATCTTAGCCCACAGACTTACAATGGGACCAAGATCATCTTAACCAAAGGATCCTTTTGGGAAACAGTGCCCTGACCCCCTTTCACCTACATTATGTTACAAATGCCTATAACCATTGGCATTTGTAGCCACACTAACTTTGTAGCCATAGCAATTGAAAGAATGTCCGTCAAACAATGGTTTCTTTCTTCTTACACCCCATAACCAGTTTTGCAAGCATGTGATTGGTGGGATAGTTTGATTGATCGGTCTATCCGCCAATAACAAAAGGGGCGGTCAAATTCAGCCAATCCACTGTGAGTATGACACTAAGCTAATCGGTGATTGGTTGTAGTTCAACGGCCGTCTGAGCCCGCCCCGCCCCCCCGCTTAAAAAGTCAATGGAAATTTCCAGTCTGTCTACTCAGAGCTATATTAGCGAAAGGGAGCGGAGAAACAGACAGAAGCAGACTTTTACGGCTCGAAACAATCTTAAAGAATAACTTCAAGACAATCTTTCGGTGAGTGGAATGTTTTAATGTATGTTTAAGTAATTCAGTATGCGTTTTAAAGCCGTTAAGTTGCTCGCCATGGCCATCTTGTTCGCTTTTACTGACGGTATTGTTCTGAATGGGTTTCTCAGCTAAGGCCGCCTTGCTCACCGTATGAAACTGAGAGTAGTTAGCTCACTGCTTCTTACTTGACTGTGAATAACAGCTTTAATTGTTTTTATTTTTAAACTATTTTTGTTGGTTTTTCTGCAATGAAAGATACTTGAAACCTCCGTGCGGAACTTTTTCATCTGAAATGCGTTTAAAGGGTAATTTTTTTTTTTTTTGCACGTATTTACATCGACGTTATCAAATAAAACTCAGTCCCCGTCGAAGTTAATCCAAGTTCACTGCCACTCGCCTTCGCGTTACTCGGAAATTCAGCCTCTTGACTCTTCAGCAAAAAACGTTATCACGAATGTATGAAAGGCGGCAATGTCCATATATGGTGTTCCGGTATGCGAGTTAGACCACGCCCACAGCTCGCACTACTACTCCTATTGCAAGTAGCGGATCTGCTTCATCACGGTCCCGTGACTCTGCGCTGCCAAGATAAACCGGTGCTGTGCGTGGGATAAGCTCTGTGTACATGTACTCCGAGTACTCGTGTATTAGTGAGTGACCACCTTCTGTTTACCTCTGTCTAGGACTCTTATTGATTTGACTGAAGAACGCTTGGATCTATATTTCCACTTCCCGTCTTCACTTCACAAGTTCACATTCAGCATGTCTCAGCAGCAGATTAGGTAAGTCTCCATTCATTCTGCCTTTACGACATTTAATTACATGCGTGTTAGGAGTTTTCACTATTGGAGCTCAGTTGATTCGTTCATTGACAGACTTGTAGAACTATTTTGACCATTGATCAAGTCGTTTTTCCAGAAAATATTCCAAATGTTTTTATTTTTTTTTTAGACTAAGCTGGGCATATAAAGACATGGATATAATGGGTCCTGCATTTCGATTAATTAGTAATTAATTTAATTAGTTATTTGCAGTCCTGGTTGGCTTAATTTAAAAAAAAAAAAAAAAAATATATATATGACTACTACATATATTATTATATATATCATAATCAGTAAGCTACTAGCGTTGATTGATATTTTTTTTTATTATTATTGTTTAATTGGATTATTCTTTCAATTAATCAAATAATCATTTCATCCATAGAAGGAAGAATATCCTTCATGGTTTCCCATAGTCTTCAACTGACAGTCTACAACTCAAAGATATTGAATTTATAATTAAACAGAGAAAAACAAATTCAGAAGCATTTCAGCCCCTTATTATAAGCTTACCTTCATTTATTCATGTATTAATTACAGTTTTACACTTTAAAACTTTAAATTCATTTCCACATTAAAGTTTTGCCGTTCTTTTTTTTCCCCTCATCTCTTTCCAGCCTCCCAGCCAAGCTCATTAATGGCGGTATTGCTGGCATTGTTGGAGTCACCTGTGTCTTCCCCATTGACTTGGCAAAGACCAGGCTGCAGAATCAGAGACCAGGTCAGCAGGTCTACAAGAGCATGTAAGTATTTGTAGTTGCTGTTGTCTTACACGACATCCTTGGTGACGCGCTGTCCGCCAGATCTCTTGGCATAATACCCACTACGTCCATGTATAATCCAGTGCTATTCTGGCTAATCTCACAACGACACATGCAGGACAGAAGTAGGGACATTCCTGACGTGATGGACCATGATGACTATCATTCCTCTCCAGTGAGGTGGTCCAAATGCCCCGCTCCATTTATCTTAGCATCCGTCACCGTTCTCTTACCCTGGCTCTTGTTAAACCGTCACTGTGATACATAAATTGAGATTTTTTTTTATTTGTTTTTTTTACTCTTTTAATATACAATATTTAAATGCTACCTCACACGTTTCACGCCGTGACATTTTCCTTTCTTTGTTGTTCTGTAGGATGGACTGCCTTGTCAAGACAGTTCGATCAGAGGGTTACTTTGGAATGTACAGAGGTAAGATTTACACACACCTGAATATTAAGAAGCAGTAGGCTAGAACACATAGAGAGGATTAAATGTAGGAGGGGGTAAGCTCTTAAGTTGAACATTGATTACATGATTACAACTGGGTGCATACTGCTGAGGGTTCAGATACAGTGTATTTTGATTCTACGTAAAGATTATAGATATGACGAAGTGGCCAAAGCTGTTATCATGCAAAGTGGTTTTACAGCTTTAAGCTCTGGTGTTTTTTTTTTAAATAGCATTTCATGCAGTAAGTAGTAAAACACATGTCCTGTTTAATTATCAGTTAATTTTAGAATTTTTTAAATGTAGAAAAGTAAAATCTTGTGGACATTGGAAAATGGAAAATTGAGACCTTTTAGTCTGGGTCTCTGCTTGTGTGAGGAATGCTTTTTGTTTGCATCTGTGTTTTTCATATTACAGACTTGGGTCCCCCTGGGATATTGAAGGCTAGCCGATAAGGCGCAGCCACGCTGGAGGCAAATCATTAAATGGTTCTTACAATATTGCTCTATTTAAAACTATAGGCACAAGTTTTTGTTTTGCCATCTATTTGTTCTGTAATTTGACTACTTGTTAATAACTATTTGGCTGTCTCTTCACTGTCCTGTCAACTCGTCATAGATCCTCATTTTCTAGACTATGAGTTGTGTCTCTGCAGACTTTGGTTTGATCTTGAAAATGAATCTGTGGCGCACTAACGTTTTACTGTAGACGGTCTACAGTCTTCACAGATGAGTTTTTAAGGTTGCCCAAAGTCTTCGCACACACTACATAGTTAAGGATTCGGTCTGTCCTTTCACTAACACCTCTTTATTCTTTTGTCTGTCGTTGTCATTAACCTACTTACTGACTCGGAGCTCTTCCATAGACACAGATTTTCCTTTCTTAACGTTTTCTCCACACAACGTGGGCTCTCTTATTGTAAACTGACTCACTGTACTTCATAGTCTTGGTGTTTGCATCTTCCTCTGGATATTCATTACCCTCCTCATCTCATCTCTTGTCTTGTGTTCGGCTTGTTTCTAATTTTCCTTCTATGTTTTTAATGTTATTTCTCTTGATGTAATCCCCCTCCATCATCATGACTGAAGCTTTTTGTAATTGAGCATTTGTCTTGTCTGTGTAGATTAGCTATACAATGGACTGATTAGATTCTAATGTTGTAATGATAGTGGCGGGGAATGTCTTTGTACATGTGCTGAATGAAGACTTGATTGTGACTTCAGTGCTAACTGTGTTTATTTTTCCTCAGGCGCTGCTGTAAATTTGACCCTGGTTACCCCCGAGAAGGCAATCAAGCTGGCTGCTAATGACTTCTTCAGGCAACACCTCGCCAAGGATGGGTAAGCAAGCACATCTTCCTCTGGGGAAAATGCAGCATCCCATCGATTGTGTTTTTGTGTTGCTTAATATCTCTCCTATCTCAACAGAAAGGGGCTGACGGTGTTCAAGGAGATGCTGGCGGGTTGCGGTGCAGGCATGTGCCAGGTCATTGTCACCACGCCGATGGAAATGCTCAAGATACAGCTACAGGATGCAGGCAGACTCGGTGAGGAGAACACAGATTTGATGTTTCATATCATCTGTGTGTGCATTTAACTCAGATCTTAGCCCCAGTGCCACCCCGTTGTTTGTGTTTGTTAATGTTGGTTTTGTCTTTTGTCCAAAGCTGCCCAGCAGAAAAAACCAATCATGATGTCTCCCACAAAGCTTGTGGCCACCAACACCGTGCTCAGCCGCTCCTACAACTCTGGCACGGTGGTCTCCGCACCGCGAGCTGTATCTGCCACACAGATCGCAAAAGAACTCCTCCATACGCAGGGCATCCAGGGGCTGTACAAAGGCCTGGGGGCAACACTGATGAGGTAAAAACGCTTATTCTACGCATACAAGAGATACCATAACTTGTTGGACCAGTTGGGTTTGTGTCAGGTTTTCAGTCTGAATCAACATTTTTGTTCCCTTTCTTTCAGGGACGTTCCCTTTTCTATGGTCTACTTCCCATTGTTCGCCAACCTGAACCGCCTGGGCAAACCCAGTCCCGAGGAGTCGTCACCCTTCTATTGGGCTTTCCTCTCAGGCTGTGTGGCAGGATCTACGGCTGCTGTGGCTGTTAACCCCTGTGATGGTGAGTTTCAGGAGCCATATCAGCAGGTCATGTTTATTAGTAAACTGTTTTTATGTGACTGGAACATTACCTAATATATTCATTTGTTTTTATTTTTTTTTCCTAGTGGTGAAGACTAGACTGCAGTCACTGACCAAAGGATCCAATGAGGAATCTTACAATGGAGTTGTAGATTGTGTGAGGTAAGAAAATTGAGTTATTCATTGTTGCATGTTGTACCTTTCATGTTTTTTTAGTAGTTTGTATAATTAAACCCATCCCTCTTGCTCTCCACAGTAAAATAATGAGGAAGGAGGGGCCCTCCGCCTTCCTGAAGGGTGCTGGCTGTCGAGCTCTGGTCATCGCTCCTCTGTTCGGCATTGCACAGGTTATGTACTTTGTTGGCATTGGCGAATACATCCTGGACAGCTCTCCTCTAAGCCTCCTGACGGCATGAGCATATCGACTGATGCAAAGGACCTTCTGAGCATCGATGGTGGAACGACTGGCAGCTATATTCCATCGGTTTACAAGTCTTGTCTGACTCGAGTCAGAAAGACTTCAGGGTGTGTTGAGACCTAGGATTTCATCTTCTGTATGGTCTGACAGCTGTGTTGCACTTGAACACTTTGGAGACTTATTCAGTAGGCTATGGCCAACATTTGCACTTGAAGCTGTTAGCCTTATTGGACCGGGGGACTCAGAGTTGCAGTGTTATTCTTTCTTTGTCCCAAAGACGGTCCCGTTCTGTTTCCCTCTGTGAGGGAGGGGAGCTTACTCCATCGAAGAGATAGACCTATTTGTGTGTGTTCTCCCATGCAATCACATTTCATATTATATATTTTGTATGTGCATGCTAGTTTTATTTTATATTGCTGAATTGCAGCAGCTTGCAGTACTTATGTTTTTCTGTTGCTGTCTCATGTTACAAAGCTTCAACGTGGAACGAAGGCTTCAGATGAGGTTACAATGGGGCCCAATTTACACAAGTTATTGCAAAGGGATCTTTTTTTTTTCATTTTGTTTTTTTTACATACATTAAAACAATGTGAGTGTACATGTTTCATTTGAATGATCATGAACCCTGCTATTGACATGGGACCATATACATGCCAAACCATTAACAGTGTCCTGTTTATATATTTGATATTAACCCTACAGTTGTAGTCTGTAAACTGCAGTCGTATCTTAATATCTGCAAAAACTTGAGATGCATTCATGCACATTATATGTATGTGTTTGTCCACATAACTTCAATTTCTACATTTATATATGCATACCTACGATTACACTCAAAATGATATTTTTGGTTTATGCCTTACGAGAGCAGATTAGCACTTCTCTCTGAATAAACAAGGGTCTTGGCCAAAATAAGCATTATTACTGTGACTGAGCAAATAAAAGAAGATGTTACCATTTTTGTTTTGATTGCTTTTTGTATATACACATTAAAATTTGCAACATGAGCGTGTGTTTGAGGTTTAATTGAGTGAATGGTTTAACAAGGGTCGTGCAAATATAGGCATACCAGTATTTCCAGTTTCCGTAAAGGGGATCGACAAAATAACTAATGCTGCATAAACATGTTAAATCATTACAAAAGGCAGGCATTATTAACATACTATATATTACATATATTCTACCATAGCTGGAATTATCTCTTCACGCTAATCTTGTAATTACTTTATAGCTGTAATGCATCATAAATCAATTAATTTTTTTATATTTTGAATGTGAATCAGCAAAGTTACTAGTCAACGTTACCAAAGTGGAATAAAAAGTACAGTGTTTTCATCTGAAATGTACTGAAGTAGTTAATCGTAGTTGGAAAATGGAAATATCTCAAAATTGTACTGTGCTTCAGTAACACGTCTTAACCGGTCTTAACCTGCATCTAGTGACAGTGGAGCCCCAATAACAAAGGCAGAGCGTAGTGTAGTGAAAAGTTCTGTAACAACACATTATGTAACAACTCGACAAAATGTAGTACATTTTCATTATGTAATAACGTCTGCATTTTGTAACAGTCTGTCGCATTTTGTAATAAAAACCCAGCCGGAACCCAATGTGTAATACATTTCCCTCAAATGTTGTAATAAAGTATTGTGGTTTTTTGATGGACCATTGCAGTAGTCGTTCTTGCTGGAAATGAAAGCGTGAATGAGTTTTTACAGGTCGACATTTGACATAAAGTCCCTGAGCTTGGCTGTACTTGCAAGGTGATAACAAGCTGATCTTGTTGCTGCTATTATGCGACAGTTTAGACGAAGGTCAGAGTCAACTTGAAGTTTTTAATTTAACATTTGGGAAGTTTAATTTAGGTTAACTGTTAAAAATATGACATGTACAGATGAAGACATCCATCCATTTACAATTTTTATTACATTTTCACTACTACACCACCACAATATGTAATGTATAACAAACGTAGCGAAATGTATTACATCTTCCGTTCATGCTGTTTATTACAAAATCCAGCAGATTGTTACAAAGTGCAGACGTAATTACATGATGAAGTGGAAATGTATTACATTCTGTCAGGTTATTAAGTAATGCTGTGTTGTTCAAACTTCAATAGTCAAACATCAACATTTTGCCTTATACGAATGGAAATTACAGCAATTACAGTAACATTCATACTGATACTGAAGTCAATGTAATATTTAAGTTTACAGGTTCAACACAAATCTTTCAACCACATCCTTCCTCAGCTGTTTCTAATTGTGTCTGAGCAATAAGTAAGTAAGTAGTAAGTAGGTGTAATATTGTTTGAAGAATCCTGACTTCTTGTCTGTATGCATTCACTGCATTACCTCTCTCTGGTGTAGGATTGCACTGCTATTCTAGACGGCTGCCATTTCATACCAGTGAGTCTACACCAAGCTCTGACGTGTTCAGGAACCTCACCGACCACAAAATTTTCATTCAACAGACTGCTCTGCCTCTGACTCTTCTGATTCACACGCTTCGAAGGCGGGAAAGAAAAAGACTTCACACATCAATAAAAGCACCCAGTATTGTTTTTTTTTATTATGGTTAACAGTATGACAGAAACTATATTATTCTATAATTCACATCTTATTGGCACACCAACAAAATTTACATCCAAAATAATTCACACAAAATGCAAAAACTAGCTCACTGTTACAGTTCACACACGCTCTAGAAGAGCCCAAGACGTATTGTTACTCATGACCTTTTAAATGAATTTGGAGATTCACAGAGTGGCAGTTTATCATCAGACCTTTGGTAACCCTTTGGGTTGATATCACGTCTACACTTCCTCTATTGTGCTTTACAGTAGAAATACTTGAGAGTGTTGGCTGGGAGCTAGCACAGTCATTATGTACATATTCAAATCACAAGGAATGGATAAGTAGCACAGCAGCTGGAGGCTTGTCTGTGTGACTAAATATAGGCACATCCTGGAAATTTACTTTGCAAAGGTAGACTAGTCCTCAAAACATTCAAGCACACAAAGTATGATTGGCATAAGGCCTATAAATTACACAAAAAGGGCTAGAAGGGGCACGATAAATAATGTTAACAGCAGATGCATAAGACAGGGGTCCATATTTACAGCAATACTCAACAACATTCCCGTGTCAAAGAAGGCTTCATGTTGCAGCTACAGTGCAGCACCTCTGGAGCGCCAGCAATGAAACAAAAACATGTTAAAACCGAGGAATGTCACAGAGTTGTGCCAAAAGCGGAGCATGTGTTATGGAAAAGAACGGAGGAAATAAATGTTCAGTGCTGGTGGAGTTGAGGAGAAGGTGTGAAGACGACGATCCAGCGTATCGTGTTGAAATTGGCTTGTGGACAACTGGGACGTAGTGTACTCTCTCTGTTTGTGCTATTCAGTGAACCTCCACACCAGATCACCCTGGACTACGAGAAATGACACCGGAATGTAACTTTGGTGTTTCCCTTCTTATGCGGGTGATTATGAAGGGGGTCAGAGGACGTGTTTTGCCCTGGCTGGTGGGGGTGAGGGAGGAGGGAGGAGGGAGGAGGAAGGGGTGAGTGGGGGGTGGTCAACTCACCATCTATATAACCTCTCTGTTGTTCCTGATGGCACAACACAGAACCATACTGAAGATCATTCCTATGATCTGAAATCAGACACATTTTGGGACACGTTAAAACATCTGTGGAGTTTCGTGTAAAGTAGCACCAAACAGAATAATCACTGTTTTTGGGTTTATGAAGTTTACATTTTGTGAATTCTCACCATTACTCCTGCGACACCAATCCCAATGTATCCAATAATATGAAGCTTTTCATTTAAGAAGTTGGTTATTGCAGTGAGACAGTCCTAAAAACAACAATAAAGCATTCATATTGTTAATTACTGATACTGTGCTGCTGCAAATTAATTTACATAAAAAAGGATTAGTGACACATGACTGATCCAGCACCAAATTGCAGCAGATCTTATGATCTTAAAACAGCGCTATACTGCCACCATGTGGGTACAGAGTGTTACAGCAGGCACAAGGGTTCACCTGGGTGTCTTCTGGAACGTCTGCACAAAGTGTGTTAGACGCTTCTGATGTGGAGCCTCCGCAGCAGTTCAGCTGTAAATTTAAAAAGTAGAAAGAATATAATGGCGATGCTGGTGGGGTCGACTGTGACAACAACATAAAGGAGACGACTGAACACAAGCAAAGCTTTACTCACAGTTTTGTGGTAAATGAGTGCAATCGCAGTGGCGTTGGAATTGGAGAGGTCAGAGATGGAGCTACTGTAAAACTTTTGGACTTCCTCAACGATCTATAATTGATCAAAGATAAAACAAAAAACAGTAAATGTATATTTAGAAGATATATTACAATTTCATTAAATCATTTATCACTTAAATGTTGTACCTGTTCCTTGTTTATGAATCCAAACACACCAGCGGCAATCTCTGCTCCAAAGATTATCAGAAGGCAGGCAAAGAACTGCAGAACAGAGAAGTGGCTTATTATTATTATTATTATTATTGCATTCTAGTGTGAGCTTTCATATTAAAAAAACTGGTGACAGTGATTGACCAAGACGGTAACACTCAGTCATTTCCTAATCATTTCCTAACACTTTGATTGAAAGTTTATTCTTAACCTAGGAAACCAGATTGTTTTGTCAATTTCCTAATAATTTTCTGAGAAGAAGTATACAGTTTGGTACTTCTTCACTTATACAGTGGGGAAAATATAAATGTCCTTGAAAGAAAAAAAAACTCCTTTTAAACTGAAGTCAAATATTCATCCATTATAAATTTATTATTAGAAACTTTATTCCGAATATTTGTTTGTTTGTTTGTTTGTTTGTATTTTGTTTGTGTGCAGTTTTACATTCTGCAGACATACTCCACATTGATTTCCCCCACTGTGCAATAAAAGACTAAAGGGCTCTCAGTTACCTTAACAGTTAATTGGAATTATTTAATTTAGAGTATACCAATCAAACTATATTTCCCTCATAATTAGTACCAAAGTGCTCATTGATCTTTCCAGGGAACTTACTAGGAAATGATTTCAGACCTGTTACCATCAGAAATTCAGACTGTGTCACATTTAGTATAAAACAGTACATCTTTGAAATACCAGTAAAGGACCATCAAAAGATAACATTGCAGTGCATTAATAACGCCACAAAAAGCAGCACTTTAACCCACCGATGCAAGAAGACACTGCGACTCGCGAACCGCCCCAAAACAACCAAAGAACCCAACGATCATCATCAACGCTCCTGCACCAAGAAGGATGTACACAGCTGGGGAGAGAAAAGACAGACAGATTAATATCAAAGAAATTAGCAAGCCACCAAACGCGTAATGTTCGTGATATAGTCATTTATAGCCTAGAAAGACATAGAGGCCAAGAATCATGTGTTAGTCACAGGACTGCACTTCACAGCTTCATCTGCGGATGGCAGCATGATCCAACTGCTCTCATGTCTCTGTTGAAGCAGAATTTATAAAAAGGACTGTTGTTGGGTTTGACTACCAGCTAAAAAGTGTAGGTGGAATCTCTGTGAGTAGCCTAAAACCTCTAAATCACCTCCCACAATTCACTCTGATTATCAGCCTACTCCTTCAATTCAGCCGCTTGTGAATTTTAAAGCTCTGAGATTAAACACAAAGAGAATCTTTGACACAAACTCCTGCCGCTTTTTCTCTTTTGGCTTACTGCTTAAAATAGTACTTCTTTGTCAGTTTGCCGCCACTTTGTATATAATGGGTGATCAAATGAGTACACTTAGTTTGTCAGATTAGAACTGGTGTATAAACTTTGTCCTGGTGTGGTGGACATCATGTCTAAATAACGTACATGAAGTTAGAAATGTGCAGGAAAATATTGGCGATGGACCAGTGCTTGTTGAAACCGTCCAGAAACTGCTGAAAATAAATAACTTCAGCGGCCATCTGTCAGTGTGTCGAAACAAAATGAGATGCTGTCCTGCTGCAGGCAAGCTGCAAATAGCTGGAAACCCTACCCATCTATACATGTCTGAAATTTAAATTAAAGCCGACGGAGCTGTAGAGTCTGCTGTGAAACAAGGCTTCCGGCTTACTCTTTTGATACATTAGCGTTATTTCCAATTACTCAGACTTTGTGCATTCACTGTCCTGCAGGGTAAAGCAGTAAAACAGACGCCATCTGTCCGGTAAAAAGGCAAATCAAATTTTCAAGGGTTTGATTGCTGCAGAATTAGACTTACATCCCCGACCATCCCAGCTCCCTATGAGCCTGGATGTCGTCACCTCCTCAGTTTACTCCCCTGCTCCCAGCCCTCACTACTGAGCCCTTCACACTGTAACCATACACCGGACCAGTCCCGGAGGTCCATACTAAGGGTCTCATCACTGACACAGACAGCAACGATTGCAGCAATTTAATTAATCCACATGGGGGGATGGCAAGCTGTTGTTTTGCTGCTGCTGTTGAACAAAAGGGGAGGTAAAGACGAGGCGAATAGACTGCTGGAAGCAGCGGATACTCTGCTTCAAAGCAAGTTAGCGATGGAAAATGTAATGGGCCAAGACAGCTTCTACTGTATATACAAAGTGTCGACACAGAACTGCTCTTGGCTGGTAATGTTTTCCATCACTGACTTTATATGCACTGTTTTACTGTAGCACTTCCTCTCTGTGAAACTGGTGATATCCAGCAGACAGCTGCCAACAATACTTCCTCCTTATTAATGCTGGTAGCAGGTAGCTCGTAGCAGCACATATTAGCGAGTGTAAACATATCTAAGTCTCTTAAGTTTCTCTCTGTCTGTATCTTGCATATGCACATAATGGATGTTTACATGCTGGCGCACAGAGCAACAAAGGTGACAGAATGGAAAGTGATTCACCCATAGGGAATGCTGACACTTTGCCTTGTTATGATATCACACTCTGTTTAGTCCCTTTGCTAGAGGTGAACGTAGGAAGCAACACTCCACCAGTCTGCTCAAGAAGCTTGGTGATTATATTTATTTTGTTGCTAAGGCTTCTCTGTAAGGTGATCGATCCTCAGATATTTAGATAAATTGATGACTTTGCACTCTGCAAGCCTGTTGTTGCCTAACAACAAGTGCTGCTCTGGTACAGATCAATACTTGCCCAGGAAGTACTGAACTTTATATACTGTTGGCTAGTTTAATCTATAAAAAGATACAATGCTTTAAGTTGATATAAAACTATTGAAAGGGACGAGCTCTGTGATCTCTGATTAGTTTTTTGCATGTCAAATTAAACCAAACTGAAGAAAAATGATCTCACCTGCAGTAGTTTGCATAAACAGACAACTGTGAGAACACAAATATATTTTATTCTCGATAACATCTTGAATAATATCTTGTATGCTGTGTATGACACAGCGTTAATGTCCAGACTTTGCCTTTGTACTCACATTTGCACAAGTTACTGTATAAAACATTGCTTCTTCTTTTGTTTATTTTTACAAGCACGTACTGCACAGTACAGTATTACGACTGCCACTAAAGGAGTCTTCAGGATAGACTCCTGTTACCTGCCCCACCCAACCTGCTACTCGTGTCCTGAGGGAGGCGCCAGTTCACGAAAGTGCAGCAGAGAGCTGATGAAGTGAAGTCACCATTTTAGGTCATGGTCTAAACGGGAGTCACAAGAATAGGCTTCATTCTAATCATCTGCTCCTAGCCGGCAGAGCAAAGGAGAGAGAGAGAGAGACACAGAGAAGAGAGAGAGAGAGAAGAGACGAGAAGAGAGAGAGAGAGAGAGAGACGAGAGAGAGAGAGAGACGAGGGGGCCTATTGTATGTACTTGCAACACTACTACAACACTGAAGCTGTTTGCTAAGCTCTAATGTACGTTTTAATACCTACTGTTGTGTTGAATCTTCATTCATTATCAATCAAAAGGCCCCTGCGTACAAAGTGCAATGAACTTATAAGATATTTCAGCAAAGAGACAGAGCTGTCCATTAATCACTTAGAGGCTGTGGTACATTAGTCACTGTTTGTGCATCTTTGTTTGATCAATTTATATTATTGCATTGGAAAGGAAAATCAAAATCAATATTTGCAACCATGAGCAATTCTCTCTATAACCCATAAACTAGAGCACTACCAATAATGGTGCATTTTAATAATCATTCGAAGCTTCTCTTTCACATTCACTCGTTATGTAGCACTGTAAGTCACTTGTAGAGTAAGTGAGGATATAAATGATGATTAAAGACACTCAGAAAAGTGAGTTTCTGTGGTGCGTCGTGCACAGGAAGTGATGAAACATCACAATGCACTGAGAGTAAAATGTGCCAGTTGAGCGTTCATTACTGCTCAGTAACACCTGCGGCCCCTGAAAGTTCAACTGCTGGTGGGGAATCCCCTGGGAAGTTCACAAGGGTTTGTTAAATGATTGCTACAGAGCACCATAAAACCTAATGTCACTGGGCATTAAATCTGATACTGCGCTGTGTACTCTGAGGACACAAATAATTGTTGTTGTTTTTTTTTTATTTATTTTAATCCCATAAATGTGTCTTAATCTACAGAAAAATCTGATTCTGGGACCAAAATCTATTTTTATGAGCATCTTTCTCGGACTAACATTTGAAACTTTTAACATCAAGATGTCAAAATGTTGTTCTCTACCTTCTGGCATTGAGAGGAATTTAATTTACATTAACATTTACATTGTTAAATAGAAATCAAATGTGACCTGCTCTGTGGCCGATAAAATCCACATGCAAATGATCTTTCCTCATATCATTACTTGTATGAAAAATAGCTGCAGCCCACATCTGCACTGTTGTATTGTTGAGTGGTGGATATACACAGAACTGGCACTAAAACACAAAGAAAATCAAACAGTTTGTCACAATAAAATTAAATAACAAGAAACATTTCATTTTGTAATCGTGCACAATATTTTTATGATCTGTATAAGTAAAGGGAGGTGTGAGTGGAGATTGGACGTACCAATGAAGAAGGTGTCAGGGGCGCCATCGCCTGTCAGTAGCTCCACTGTTTCTGGGTCAAACCTGAGCCAAAGTCCCACGGCCAGCACCAACAGGCCCGACAGCTGAGGGATGATAAATTACATAATATTCATGTCATAATTAAACACTTTTGCACAATTTTTTGTAACCGTCTTGCAATGTGGTCCCTGTTTTTAGGATTTAAGTGATGTCTTTGGTGATAAACGCTCAATGTTTCAGTGAGTTTGCCCAGAAATAACTTCACAGTTAAACTTTGAGGCCCATCATGTGTTTTTTTTCCCTTTGGCTCTGGTGTTGATTAAGATTCTGCAGGTGGCACTCTTGTCTTTGTCTTGTCAGTAAAGTGGCTCTCGATGCTCTCTGCCCAATCTTTCTTAGGGTTATTCTAAACAAACTTCTGCCAGAAATGTTAATGCATTACCTCTTGAGTGACTAAAGAATCCAACAGTTTTAGACTCACAGGATGCACATGTAGCCAAAAGAACATTTTTAAGTAACTTTGTTACTCTATAAAACAAGATTCTCTGCAGTAATCGTGTTTTTAATGATCATATATTGAAGTTTAGCCTAAGATGAAACTAACAGAGCATCAGGTGTAATTTGCCTGACAAGTTTGTCACAGCATTAAGAGGACATCATTGCTCCCTGGGCAAGCTTGACCAAAAATAGACTAATCGATTGAAACCAGGTGTCACCCTGAGAAAGTTAATCCTTCTGACCTTCTACATACAAGTAACTGATATTATCTGGTTTTAAAGACCAGTGTTTTATTTCTTGAAAAGACAAATGAAAGGTTTTAATACTAAATGTGTATAGGTGTATATCGCTAAAGTATAATTCTCACAATAAACTCACAAGTGTTACGTATAATAAAGTTCAGTTTTACAACGTTTTACACAATAAATCCAAATGTGAACAAATAATTAACAGGTTGAAAACAGAATTACAACCCATATTTCTCTATCTTTATCTTATATAATATCCGATCATGAACTTGCAGGTGAACAAATCACCTCAATGTTTAAACCTCTAACAGTGAACTCAAATTCTGAGAGGAACACAGTAATCAAAGCAGTCTGTTTAGTTGTTGATGTCCTTTCTTGGCAGAACATATCTGCTGCCAGTGAACTAATTTGGTAACTGATTGGAGACTCTTTGTAACAGCAGCTCATGTTACCATATGGACCATCAAAATATCATATTCAAACGGCAGCATCACAGCACTAATGGTCCATCTCCCGTCGTGCATTTCAGCCACAGGCTGTGCCAGCCTCACAGTGCCTTGGTGATGTAACTCACACTGGCATTGGTTGCTTGGTTTGGCTCTGCACCCCAAAATGACAGCGTACTGTACGCCCCTTTTGGCTCCAACCACAACAGCTCTGCTCTCAGTCCTGAAACTCCTAAACAAAGAGGCCGCTGTCGGTTTTGGTGACACAAGTGATCGCCTTACAGAGCACAGATGAGTCAATGCGGCCCTTTAAAACCCTATATAGTCTATCAATTAGCAGTAAAATGTGAACTTCCAGTTATGAAAACAGCAAAAGTCTTCAATAGTCAATTAATCAATAAAATGAATCTGTAACTATTGTGGTAATCAATTAATGTAATTTTTAAAGAGAAAATGCCAAATATAACCTAGTTCCAGCTTGTCATTTGTGAGGATGTGCTGCTTTTATTTGTCTTCAGTGCTAATAAATTGAATCTCTTCGAGTTTTTAACTATTTTTCAGACAGAACCTGTAATTTGAAGACACCACCTATGGCTTTAGGAAGCTGTGATGTGCAACTGTCACTATTTTCAAACATTTTATTACAGACAGACGACATGCAGATCTTGCAATCTGAAGTGGGAGCATGAACACATTATTTGGCGCTGATGTTGTTCTCTAGTGGAAACCCAATTGGTTGCAGAACAAATCTGCAGGGTCATAAGATGAACAGCAAAGCAGTAAAATATATTTCTGCAACAGAAATCTCTCACTTTGTCAGACTTTTTCTTTATTTAACTTCTTTGGGCCTGGGATGAATCATGTTCTCACGCTTTAGTTGAACAGGTTGCATACATCTACAGCCTGTGCGGGGCGGATCACAAGTAGACACGCAGTAGCTTTGTTTTAGGTGGGGTTACACAGGCCAAAACTTTTGGAAGCCTTGGTGTGTATTCCAATCATCTGTATGGATAATAAGGAGACCTGACATAATGTCAGATGATAAGTCACTGCACAGTGAATCCACAGTAGCCGGAGCCACAGGTAACCTTATCTGAGCAGATCTAATTTAGCATAACAGACCAAAACAAAACCCTTCATGATGTCCCCTAAACAGATTAACCCTGTGTGTAAAACACCCACACGCTCCCAGACCTGCAAAAGGAAAGTCACAGCACAATGGCAAAACATTAACGAGGTTCTGAACAGTGGCTGTGTTGGAAAAGTAGCAACACGCTGCAGGACGACCACAGTACATTACTTACAACATAAATCATATGAGTGTTAAAAGAGTTAGTGACTTACAGGCTCACATTTGATTTACTCATGAATTAGTAAAAACATTTCGTAGATGATACTTTAAGAGCTGTCTGTTTATTTATATTCCACCGTTCAAAAACAAAGTAAAAAAGCGCTTTACAATGAGACATTTAATTAAAGCAAATAAGATCCAGAACTTAAGACATAAACAAGATACAATAATTTAAATAGTTTAAACAAATACCATCAGTTAAGAAAAAGTCACACGATAAAAGTGAGTCTTAGGAAGAGATTTAAGGGAGGTACTGAGTTTGCCTGCCTCTCCAGGCAGTGAGTTACACAGCTGAGGTGATAAATCCAGATTTTGGGACCATTAGGGCCCCCGCCAGAGGATAGGCTCATAGGGTGTTAGCAAATCACAGATATAGGAAGGAGTCTGACTGTTCAGGGCTAAAAACAAGCAGTAAATCCTTGAAATCAATTCTAAAATCACAGGTAACCAGTGAAGTGCAGCGAGGATTGGTGTAATATGGTCACTTCTCTTAGTACAGTGGTTTTCAAACTGGGGTCCAGGGACAAACAGGGGTCCTTGAGTAGATTGTAGGGGGTCCCCAACCAAAGGAAAAAGTTGGAACATGGGAAGAAATATGCTTTGACTGTTTTGAATAATTATAATGTATAGGTTTTGACGATATTTATAATTACATCTGATTTTAAGTCATTCAATTGTAGGACATTTTTGGACAACTCATTCTTTATTTTAGCGAAGCAGGAATTAATGCAGGATGTGTAGCACCAGTCTTTATCTTGACATACAATTGGGTGTCGTAGCAATGAAAATCAATGTCACCTCTAACCATGACTTGGCATGTAACAAAAGGGGACCCAGAATAGATCCTTGGGGAACTCCACAAAATATTGGAGCACGAGAGGAGGAGGCATCTCCAAGCACTACAGAGAAGGACCTGTTCAACAGACAGGCTGTAGACTTTATGGTCCACTGTGTCAAAGGCTGAGCTACGGTCAAGGAGATTTAAAATAGAGTATAGGCCAGTGTCAAACAGTAGGTCGTTGGTGACCTTGCGGTGCTGTTTAGGGAGCGGGAACCAGATTATTTTTTTTTTATTGTTGTATTGTTATTCATTAATTATTTTTTTAAATCAGTTGAGTGAAGACAGTTTTTCTAAAATCTTCAATACAAATGGCAGCTTGGAGGTCTAAAACAACTTAAACTTCAAGAGAGGGTTTCTTTAAAAAGGAGTAAACAGAATGATTAAAATTGGGAAAATACCAGCAGCCTATACAGAGAGCAGTTATTAATGGCTAAAATATCTGGACCTAAAATATCTGAAATAGAGGGACAGGTTGATGGTTTTGAACGTGCAGCAGTCCGATCCAGGGTTGACAGACTCTGAAGTGAGCTCATGTTAAAGCTAGGCAGGAGTCAACATCACCTCTCTGAAGTTGACTCCTGTCATGCAATGAGGCATTAGCGCTGTCTGATGGACTTAAATGAAAAGATGATGATTGATAATGCAGGACGGATGTGAGAATTTAGGCACACAGTTAAAGAGTGAGTAGTTTGCGCCGAGCAGGTGGATAGAGGCAATCTGCAAGATGAACTCCCCGGTTCTCCTCCGGTGTATAACGAAACCAGGTTAATTAAAACCACATCTAACAATATCAACAGACAGACTGTAATCCTGCAGTGTGTTGAACATGTAAACACTACAATAAGGCGGAGTACTAACAGCTTTCCCACATGCAAACAAAGCTCGATAACCATTTATAATAAATATATCAAACATGCATCGGCTTCTCTAACATAAAAAAATAAAAATAAAGATGACCCGGCCGTTCAAAGCATTATGGTGGTTTCAAAAATAGCAATAGCGTTGTTTCCATGCACACCGTTTGTGAAGCGGACTTACCCAGAAGATGAAGTTGAAAACGAAAAGCAGATATTTCACGCATTTCATCCCACCCTGCACTTTGCTCATGATGGCACCTGATTTGTCGATATCTCCGATCTAAACGATGTTATTTTTTTTCAAATCCTGGCTTCTTCCAGTTGGACATGAACCATGTAATAATGATGACCTGCACCGCGGCGATACACCATCCAAACATGCGCACAAGCTGCACAAGGCTGGGCTGCTGCACGCTGACTTGCGCCCGCCCATCCCGCTTGTGCATGTGCGCTGAGGTACCAAGATGGGCTTCAGGGACGATCTGGGACCCCCTGAGGGAGACTCCAGGACGTCACCCCAACAACATCAGGAATAGGTGTATATCTCAGGCAGTGTGCAATGTGACTTGCTTTGCATTTAGCACTGTGCATTAACGTTATCCCAAAGAAAAAATTCCCAAAGAAAGAGAAGTTTAATCATTTCATCGCTTTTTGTCCAGTCAACCTCATTTGTAAAGGAGATGTGTTTGTAGATGTGACTAAATACCACATTATATAATAATCTGTGTGGGTGTGAGATGTGAAAGTGGTGTAGAAAACTGCCATCTGTTTGCAGTCCCTGTGCTATTTTTGAGTAAATATACTGAATTTAAGGTGTTCAGCACCCAGAGTCCGCACCAGGATCCCACAGAGCCACTACAGGACTGAGCAATACAATCTATACACATCTTCACAGTAGCTGGTGGGAGTCCAATTACATTTTCACTTTCACTTATTTTACCTGCACTTTTACATCAGCAGTTTCTCACAGAGACACGTTTAAACCTGCATATTATCCTGTGATATCAGTGTTTATTATGGAAATATGGGAATGTGTGTACAGTACGCACTTTAAACACAGTGACCTGAGATAAGTCTCTTGAGTTGCACAGTTACAAGAAATAGTACCTGGGCCTTAACCAAGATTCATACTGAAGTCATGATGCCTAGTCCGTGCTCAAACTTTGAATTTTTCTTTTTATAAAAAATATTAGTTAACTGTTTAATTATATTGTCTTTACTTTCAAAGCCTTCTTTATTCTGTCAGGGAAAAAAAACTTGGTCCAGACTAAAATATCACAACTACTGGACCGGTTTCTAGTTTTACATTCATGGCCTCATGAGAAAAGGAGAGAAAAATGTTAATTTTTTCCAATCCTGGTTTAAGACCAATGACATTCCCACCAGCCTCAGC